AACCAAAAGACGGGTCCAAGCAACACCTACCTGTGGTGGTAACTTGTACTTTATAACACACGTAATTTGTTCGCGCTCATCAGGGACATCAAAACACGAGCAAAAAATGAAATCCGGGTAGAAACCCAAACTGACTTGAAGCCACACGTGGGCTTTATACTTGTGTATTTTGTTTCGTGCACAGAAACACCAAACATGGCGAACCCCCGCGCGCGAATCCCTTGACCTTTGGCCGGATGGCAACGCCAACAAAAACTTGGCTGAAAAACAGCTAGGGACACCCGGAGAGCACACAATACCATACGACAGCAGTGCCAACCAATAAGAATCTCACAAAATAAATACTACTTCCACATAAAAAAAAACCTCCCCGGCTCTTCTTTCTCTGCGCTTGGTTCATTTAGTTCGTTGTGGTTTTGAAAGCGAAAAAAGAGACAGGCAAACAACTCCCGTCCCGTGGTGAAAAAAAAAAAAAAAAACACTCGCCGTGTTGGTGACCGCTGACGGCAGCGGACCCCCTAAGCGACCGCTTCATTTGGAGCGTGGAGTCGACGCCCTCGGGGCTGACATTCCCAGTGCCCCCCCCCTCCCGGTCCTGCCGCAACGAATCGTGGCGATCGGAGACGGATCTAGGCCGGGCCCGCGTGCTTCCAGAAGCCTGAGGAAAACAAATCGCAGTAATATGGGGACATACCACATTGGAGATAAATATGCATCCAATATTCGTGTGCAGGAGCGCTGGTTCGGAACGGATGTACGGCATTCACCGCAGGAAACCGGCTTCAAGTGTGCGTTTCGCGCCGTACTTACGAGCGCGTGGCGGGTTTCAACAGGGGGAAAGAAGGGGAGGTGTGCGAGTGGACGAACGGCATCTTCGGCGAACGCTAGCGAACCACATACCATGCGGGTCAACGATCGATGTGAGTGTGTGTGTGTGTTTTTCTTGTTCTTAATAGCATCGACCGCGCTAACCGGCTGACCAATGAAAAGACGTCAGACTCAATGACTGCGGATAAAATCACCAAATGCTTCTATCGGCCACGGTCTGTGGGACCCCTTCAGGGGGCGTCATGGGGGAGGCTATGCTACTCTCCGGACGAAAAGACAGATACCGTAGTGTGTGTGCGTGTGTTTGATTTCCTCCGCAGATAGATTTGCGATGAAGTCATAGCGTAAGCGGAGCAATACCTGGGTTTCTACGATACGCCGGCAGGCGTGACAAGATAGTTCGGTAACCATCTTGTGTGTCTGACTATATGTAGAAGTATGTGAGTACTCCGTTTTCAAGGATGGCCCAATGCGGGCGAGCTTATCCATTGTGTGGGTTGCCATGATCGACCATCGTCGTTTCGAGGACTCTTCCAATAAAAGCACGCATGCATGTAGTCTGGCAGCGGGATTATAGGACGAAAACTCTTCCAGCCAGCACCCGCCACAAACCAACTCACATCAAAAATCGCTCACGGTGCACATTCCTTTCGGTGACTACCCCGCTTGCAGCATTTGCCTAAGATGGGTGAATCGTCCTCATGTACCGTAGGTGGCATGATATTGAACCGATTTTCAAAGCTCGATTACTCCACGACGAAGAGAACGCCGAAATGAAATCAAGGGATACGTTGTCGGAAAGCTCTCGACGAGACGGTTCCGATGCCTCCCGCCATTTTCGGCACCGTCATTGCGTCTCCTGCCGAGAAATGGATATCCGAAAATCGGTCCAGGGGTGTGTGACATCTTACGCAGCCTGCGGTAGCCAAGCCAAACAAAAAAAAAACATCAAGCGTCCTTTGACGCTCTTGATTCCGCTCAACATATCAACAATTCTATCTCAACCTCGCTCCAAAAATGAATCGATTGCTCTCCGGCACGCGGAACGCTAAATACTCGAGCAGCCAATGGCAAGGTCTTCCGACTTTCAAGCCATGCATGTCGCTATCTTCCGCCGTCCGCGTCCAAGCTATCACCTTTGAATCCTTCGCAGCCGCTGCCGCAGCCGCCTCCGCCTCTTCCAGTTCCCGGTTCTGTCGCCTCGACGCCCGGATGACGTTCATGGCACACCACCCCACCACCGCGAGGAAAAGAAACAACCCCAAGAACATCGGCAGGTATTGCTGTGCAGCAGCCCCAGCCGCAGCAGCAGCAGACAAGGGATGCAGCAGTACGGGCCGGAGAAAAGAAACGTCAAAATCGGGTCGAAGCATGAAGTGTTCGTTGTTGTTTCATCGCGGAGTAAAGGTTGGTATGTTGAGATTAGCATAGGATCTACAGCTGAGGATTGATTCCACTGCAGGTGTTGCTTCTGCAGAGATACAGCACTCGACAGGAAAAGCAGTAGCGCCGAAAATGGCGGCGTTGGAACCATCTGGTCGAGAGATTTCCGAACAGACATCCTTTGAGTTCGGCACCCTCTTCATCGTGGAGTAATCGAGCTTTTTACAATCGGTCCAGGGGATGTGATAACCTTACGCAAGCTACTGAATGTACGGTTTTCATGGCGCTGCGAGAAAAACAAAGGAGAGCATCGGTCGGTGAGTGGCTGAGGTGGTGCTTTGATAGTGGTCAGTAAACGAATATCAGAGCAAAGCAGTGAGAGGGGAAAGCATTGTGCGCGTGGTTAGCGTACCATACTATAGCAAAGACTTGATAAGCTAGCGCAAGCGGCGGGATAGATATCGTCAGCGGCGAAGAGATGGCAACCCCCGTAGACCGATTTTCAAAGCTCGATTGCTCCACAACCAAGCAGGTGCCGAAAGAGCTCGACACGTCGTCTACGGAAAGCCCTCGACGAGATGCTTCCAAAACCGCCACTGACTGCTGTTGGGGTCAGCACAAAATCAATCTTGGTTGTGGAGCAATCGAGCCTTGACAATCGGTTTCAAGGCGAGGGGTTGCCGTCTCTTCGCCTCTTGCGGTGTACCACGGTACGGTACACGGTGCGGTACAGACAATCTTGGTTGTGGAGCAATCGAGCCTTGACAACCGGTCTAAAGGGAGGGTGCCGTCTCTCCGCCGCTTGCGGTGTACGTACGTAGCGTGATTGGTTAGTTATCCACAGCTGAAGTAGCGAAAAGGACATCGTAACGACGTTCGAAACTTGAGCATTTACCACCATACATCCCATGTATGTCTGTTCTTCGTTACCGGCAGACTCGGGTTTGTTTCCTGCAGTTGTACACACCCACGATACAGCAGTAGACCATGCGACGATAAATCCGCCGGGAGTACGCGACATTGCTACTGCTGCTGCTGCTGCTGCTGCTCCACACTTGGGAGCCGTTCATCGTACACCCCGCAGTCCGGGAATTGGAAGTATCTCAGGAACCCGCAAGCCAACAGCCCGACGAAGTAGTTGCCACCCCGTTGTGGTACACACTTTGATTCCTTCTCAAAACATCAATAGAGCGCGTGCGTATGTGAATATGGCGTTCGACTTCGACTGACCGTGGTCATATCTCGAATGGGCAGTCTTTCTGTGTTTGTATTTATGTTTCCTAATACTTGTAGGGCGGTTGGACAACGCCTCTCTCGATGGTTCGGTGTACGTATGTAGAACTGGCGCAGCGAGCGCCGCGGGCATAGCGGTGGCTTGCTGCAGATTATATACTCGTGAGAGCAGGCCGTGCGGGACAAGCTGTTGTTCTGCAAAATGAAAAACTGCGTACCATCCGAGACGCCGAGCAGAGGAGGACGTGATGACTCGCTGCTGCCTACACGTACATATATATGCGACACCTCCACCAGAAAGACAGCAGTATGCGTGAGAGTACACAGCCAGCAGTTTACCGCATGGCATGCGCTCTACAAAGCAGTGCATGTCAACGAACTCACGTGTACCACAAATATTCAACGACTATTAGACTAGTCTCTACAACTTGGCTGACGATGACGGCACCGGACACAATGAGACAGCCAATTTTTCCTTTTGTAATCTACGTAGACGTAATCAATACTCATGCTCTGGTGTTTCATTTGGTGTGCTACTACTGCTGTAAGAGGAAACCAACACAGCGGTGCGAAATAAGCGCTTCAACAGTAGTCCCCGCAATCGCTTGGTCAATCATCCTCGCTTGACGGCCTCCTGGGATACTGCTGTACGTTGGTGCACATCGGTACTCCCCTCTTCTTTGTGGAACGCAAGGGATGGGGGTTCGAGCATAATGCTGTTTTGATGGATGACGGCGAAGAGGGCGAGCATTATTCCCTCTGTCTTTGCTCCCGTCTCTTCGTCAAGCAGTGGAGAGGAATATCGCCGTATCGGTACCTGCTGTGGTACCTGCTGTGGCAGGCCGGTGCTGCGCCGCAGATTGTTCAACCTTTGTAGCTGTGGCAAGTGGCAACCTTTGTGGGTATCTCGAAGACAACGAATCGGCACACAAAGTATTAATCTATAGCTGCTGCGTACTCTGCTGTAGTCATCCTCCCTTGCAACACGATCAAACCTGCAAAGCCTCAAAACTATCTGTGTCTCTGTGTGTGCCTCCCTCTGCTCTCTCGCTCTAGCTCTTGCTCTCTCTCTCTCTCTCTCTCTCTCTGTGTGTGTGTACGAGTCTGCTGGTCTAAAGGAAGCACCGATGATTACACTTCCGACACGGGGCAAACACATGTGAGCAGGCATGACAACACAAGGACAAAATTCATCTACTTAGACTACATCTGCTGGCTGACCTCTCTCTCTTCTCACCTCAACGGACTTGGCCATCTCGGAGTGGGCGCTTGGCTCCCCTTCTCCTTCCTCCTCCTCCTCCTCCTCACTGGTGACCCCCGAGTCCTGCGCCATCGCGGCCTTCGGCGCCAGCAGCAGCAGCAGCAGCAGCGGCGATGCGGTGGCGGTACTACTCTCCTCGCCGCCTAGCCCGACTGCTCCCCACATCATGCCGCCGCCTTTACGTCGAACTACTCTACGTCGAAGTAGAGCTGGTGATCGAGTCCGCCCGCCGGTTGGTCGCGATGCCATGAGTCCCTGATGGTGCACACAACAACCCTGGCTCGTGCCCACCCTTCGCCTTGGCGTCGTGGCTATCTCCCTCCCGCAGACAGGAGACCCACACCAACAGCAAGCAATCGGGAAGCCGCGAGACAGAGAGGTAAATAATGTATGATGAGTTGTTGTATGATGAGTTAGTTGCTTCTGCTGTGTCCGTTGTTGAAAGGCAAGCCAGCAGCAGACCTCAGAAAAAAAAAAACAATTGTTTCTTTAGTTCTGGACCCCGAGTTGTCAAGTAGGGGTTTTGAAAAAAAAAAGGGGCGCGCGCGCGGCGTGATCGTCCCTGTCCCTGAACCTTGAACCAACACGCCTGCGCGCGAACGGATATGAGAGCCTTATTCGACGGCGGGCGGGCGGGCGGAATCCTCGAATCCTCAGTGATCAGTCACTGCGTCACTGTCTGCAGTCCAGCGTCTGCAGGGGACCACGGGCACCAGGTCCACAGGTCACAGGTCCCCAACATCGAAGTTGCTCTGTGCGCAGCATCGAAGTTGCTCTGTGCGCAGTGCGCAGGTATCGTACATAGGTTCGGGTTTTCTACTTCTCCCTCAATCTCGAATCTCGATGGTCGGCGGCAGTGATGGGCCTTTCCCACACAGCCGCGTCACAACCTTGCCCGAGCTTCGCCGACTGCTGTACATTGACCACACATCTGGTCTCCACACACACCCAGTCTGCCTATTCGTCGCTCGGTTGCGATCACAATTTCTTCGTATGTATACGAACTATGAGCTATAGACTATGCATTTATCCCAGAACCCGTCAATCAACTGCCCTGCCCTCTGCTGATACCCACCGTCGTCGCTCACCGGGAGAATTCTTGCAATGGAAGAGGTCGAAATCTCCAAGCCTCTACTACTACTGCTGTGTACATATGACTGACTACAGTGCTATCTACAAACTACCCTTCGAACGGCGGCAATAATAGGGTTGGTCTCCGCCGGGGGTCAGCATGATGGGGCCGAAGAAGTACACCTCCGTCTCCTACAAATCGTTGTTGTGGTTGTTGTTGTCTTGACGTTTCAAAACCGTTCCGTTATCTCTCCCCAGTACCTTCTTTCCGTACTACAGCAGCAGCGTCTACTGCGCTGTATGTAGTCAAACACTTGGGCGGTCGATTCCCGTGGTCACAGGCTTACCCAAAGAGGTACACTAAAATAAAATGGACCCGAACAACCGAAACCGCAAGTCAATAGAAATCAACGACATATACACTCCGCTCTCCTCTCCTCTCTCCGCTCTCCACCTACGCGAGGTACCCAAAGAAAGAGAAGGAAAAGACAGAAAAAAAAATAGTCCAGAGAGCAGGTGCTCGTGCAAAATGTAAAAGTTTGTTTTTGCGACCGGCCTGGATACCCACACACCATGTTTATTGTGGTTCCTCTTGGGATTTGAATTACACGTATGCATCGTCCATGCTCAGATACATGCAGTTAGTTGTGGAAAGCTCAGATGCTTGCGATGCTAAGCGTGGTCGCGGGAAAGTATGACTGACTGCATCAGCACACCAACAGCAGGTTTATTTGCAGCTTCATATATATGACGCCGTGCATTCTATCACGCTTGCTTACTACTGTACTGTAGTGAGAGAAGGCCAGGGGGGCGGAGAACGCAAACCAAACAACCCTACCGGCCACGAGGCAACCTGTCGGGGTCAGAATAGATTGAGGAAATATGTATGGAAAAGAAGGGCCACGCGTGTCGTGCAGGCGACACATGGTACACCACCAGTATAAATGCTTCGTTGTTGGAATGGTTGCTCTCGATAGGTCCCTGCTTCATTCACTGGTTAGATGGGTTATATGCAGCGCAGCATTTTTCGGGGAACGGATGACAAGAACGGCAACCACACACATACGTATGTATGTGGTCACAACGTCACAACCAACTGCTGGGCTTGCTGCTTGCTGGTGCTCTGGTGCTATGCACCATTCCTACAACTGACTGCGCTGTTTGCCGGGCAGTTCATGCAAACAGGGAGGACAGGCTGTGGTACGCCGCTATTGTTGGGGTGACCGGGTTTTGAAAAATTTTGTCTCGGTCTTTGCGAACAACAACAACCCAGCCGTGCAGCTATAGTGGCCACAAGCAAGCACGCACACATACATACGCTCGAGTATTACTATTATCAGAGGTGCGCATACCAGAGTATCTTCAAGACGACACTGGTTCGGCGGCCCCACATACCCACGAGAGCTTGGGGCACTTCGAGGCCCGGCCCGGCGAAAGAAGACCCGCGCGAGCCGGACGGCGGTTACTACCTGTTACCCCCATACCATTTCATCCTCGCGCAGGAATGGCAGCTGGCTGCAGCGTGCACGCTCAAGGAGGAGGGTCTTCGGCGTCGATAACTGGACGGCCATGTGAACGGCGAGTCACCTCTACCGCTGTGATCCCTACTAGCGGTTGCTGGCTCCTTCTATTCTCGGCGCTCTTGCTGGCCGTCGGGACAGGTGACGCCCAAAACGACGACCAATCCTACGCTGAAGATGGCACGGAACGAGGGCCCAACTCCAAGCTCGCCAAGAAGGCTGAGGTAGGTGCTCTCCTCCGTGAACCACACACGGACAGGCCGTGTCCCGTCGCTGCACCACCACCACTGCGCTGTGTCGTTGCAAAAAAACAAAAAAAGCGCATCCGGCATCCGGGAGAACTTCGTAGATTGTCGATGTAAAAAACATGAACATCGTATGTAAAAACATGAACATCGTATGCATCAAATGTATGTACGCAAGTATCTGCAACTCAATGTAGGCACCCGGGAAAAATCTGGCGAGCGAACAATATCTAGACTACATTCGGCGGCAACGAGAGGTGGACAATAAAAAGCACACTCTCACGATAACGTGGTTTCGAATCTCCCCGGATGGAGAGAGGAAAACCTTCCAGACACGTGCGGATTTCGCAAGTACCAACAACAAAGCGGAGGGACTTTTGAACCCTACACAGACAATCGAAAAATCGTGATGGAACGCTGAACGCTGCGAGGTGCTGCTCCCTCCCAAGCTCCACCAAACGTTTGTACGTATGCGAGTCTCCGGTGTAGCTGTACGTACACGTTCTACTCGAGGTCCCCTGTCCAACTGTTCCTCCACTCTGCGGATCTTTCCGTCGGTCTGAGATAGGTCACCCTTACGTAGACCAAATGCTGTTGCTCACGTGGAAAAGGAAGAAGCTGATTCAGGATCTGCCTTGAGGCAAAAGAATGGCAGTACAGTACCTTGTTTCCGGGGGGGTGCCGGGAAAATGTCTGCAGCAGGTAGATGATTGGTTTCCATGCTGTGTTTGTAAATAAATTGCCTTCGTTGTTTGTACTCCAACACGCATCGCAGGAGGAAGCTGGCTGAGGCACGTAAATATAAATGCACGGGAAAATAAAAGCTCCCGGCATTCACCCACCTCCTGCGTGACCCTGGACGGTTGTAGTTGTACGAAAAAGTGCAATGGAAAGTGTAGTCTACATTGAACACCCACGTGTAGTCTGACCACGAAACATGGGGGGACTGTCACAATAAGGTATTGGACAACACACGCACACGCTGTGGAGAATGTCTTAGCCTCCCCCGCCGCCCCCTCTCGGGGTCCCGTTAATGGCATTCTGAAGTGTATTGGGTTTTCAACCGCACTGAGACTGACGTCTTTCATTGGTCAGCCGGTTAGCGCGGTCAATGCTAATATAAAGACACACACATACACTACATGTTGCCTTCAACTTTCTGGTGCATGCCTAGTGTCTTGCATACACGTTTGAACGCAAGGACTTCATTTTTAATTTCACCGGGCCGACCGGTTGCTAACGAACCCCAACTATGTGGCGCACACCACAACAATCCAGCTTCAGAAACCTATTGTAGAACAGGTATTGGTGGCGAAATTGTAAACCAACCAAGAGATCCAGGACCCACTATTATATAATAGCGAGTGTTTCGTTCAGTTTAATCTTTCAACCAACAACTTGATCTGGCACTCAGTGCTTTTCGTTAGTGTACGCCCTTTCACCCATGATTTTTATAGATACTCTTTCCCTGTGTAGCCGTGCGAAACTGCATCGAATTGGCTGCGTACGAGGGCTCACGGGTTGTGTTTTGCGGTTGTCAGACACGGGATGGAGTTTATGCCGAAGATGACACCAAAATGAATGTGCTTGTTCTGAACCATTCTGAGTGCTGTAGTACGAAGGAGGAGGAGGTGGTTGACAAAGGTTCAACCGGGCTCATGGCCAGAAAGAAACACCAGCAGTAATGCCACCACCATCATCGCAAACTATCGTTTGTTGAGAGATATGGTTGGGCATTCGACCGTTAGTCTTTACCTGATTTCAGTCTGCATTGTGTCCTTAGTACTGAGAAAGGATTGTTCGTGAGCATTCTCAAGTAAAGAGTATTACAACCTTCGCGAGGCGAACATTTAAAGACCACTCTACAGGGTCTTACACGAATCTCGCCGTAGTCAATATGAACGGGGAGGGAGTTTCCCAATATGCCCCAAGCAACTCCTCTGTTGAGAGCGGCTGCTGGAGTTCGTGAGAAACTACTTGAGAAATGAGTTCGACGAGATAATGGATGAGTTGATCCTATGCTTCTGCCTATTGTAGATGCCGGTAACCACCGGCGGCACATCAGAAAAAAGCGGCAATTTTTTGTGTTGGCCTTCCTTGAGTACGCTGGCACTTTGCAATCAATATCAACCTCCAGACTGCGAGCAAACACACCGGGAAGACATTATTGCACGCTCTTCCTTGCGACTACTGCAAATAATCTTTCCGTAGAAGGGATACTTCAGATGCGGCCGTTGTTTGGACCTGAAAAGATTTGCATTGCTTTTTGGCCTGGTGTCTCTCCCTCCTTTTGCACACTTTGCTGTTCTTGTTTTACGGCCTCAGGAGAAGAAATCAATGCTCCTCACGAGGCGGACGTGAGCCCACATAGAGACACCACTGCTCATGCTTTCCACTCCTAGTGCTAGACAATTGGTTTAGATTCTTTCCTGCTGGGAGGCCTGTTTTATTTCGCTGATCGTACTGTAGTAGGGGGTCTGCTGCTAGGAGCGATTGATTCTGTCAAACCTGAAACGCACACGCTATACGTACGCCGAGCTCCGACCCATGCCCTAACGCTAGCCCTTCGGGCTCAGGCCTTCCGGCTAACAATGCAAAACCTTGGATCTCCAATGCCCGACGCAATCGTCCGTAACAGTTTGAAGCCCACACTACGCCGTTGGCCGACTTGATCTTTTTGCAGATGTACATGCTGCTTGCCCTTGGAGGGTTGATAGTCCTGGTCGTGGTCTGCTTCTGCTGTCACAAGGTTCGCGCCGCGCGCTCCATGGTCCACGAGGAGGAGGCAAACATCCATGACGTCGAGGTGAGGAGGGCAGCGTCAACCTGTGTGTTGTGTCGGTGGAGCTCTTCATTAGCAGAGGTACAGACGTACAATGAGCAGGAATTACACGAAACGACAGGTAAAGAAGGGATGCCAAAGTGTATGCAGACCCAAGCAACGTAGAACCGCGAGTTCTTTTTTTTTTCCCAGGTTGGCGTATTACGACATCCTTTATTATGTGGTGTTCTTCGATGTCTCGGCTGAGGCGAGTGCATGGTTAATTCCCGCTCATTGCACTATGGGCCTACTTGAATGAGGAACTTTGAAGACTTTTTCACACGCCATCCCCGAATCGACATGATCCACCCCTCGCAAACCTCGCAAACAAGAAGAAAGGAGCCATACATCTTCACAAAAAAATATTGGAATAGAGATGTCCAGGCGTTGAGTCCCTGTTTATATTTCACCATGTACTGCAGTTTACCCCCCCATGTGTTCTTCTCCCGGGCTGGCATTAATAAGGATCACAACTACAACTGCTGTAGAGCCTTCGCGAAGAGAGTCCAGCATGAGAATCGTTTCGCTGATAATTCCGAGATGTTCCCCTTTCTCCAGACAATCGGAGCGACGGTAAAAAAAACGGGATAAGAAGCGTACCACAATGTTTTGCTCTTGTAGCGAAGGTTTAACACACGAATAGTCGGTGGAGGAGGAAAACGTCAACGATTAGACCGTGCAGGAGTTCAGCAAGGTAATCGTAGCCTTTGCTTATCCTGACAGGTCCGTTTTCACTCACTTCACGTGTTCTTGCAGTCTTTCGCCCCCCCCCGCCCCTCCCCCCTCGCAGTGAGTCGAGAAAGGGTCCCGTGATATTGCGGGCAGGAGATGACACGACTACCCCTCTCCCGTGCGGTACACGTACAAATAGCGGGCCCCCCTTTCTGTTACAACTATGGGCCTCGTTTTTCCATACCTAGGCCGTGCCCTTGGCCTTGAAGACTGCGCACCGCCGAAAAAACACTGGCTGGTGGGCCCACGGTGGACGGTCTCAACATGCCCTGATAACTGCTGCGTCCTCTTTTTCTTTCCGCCAATCATTATCGTCGCGTTGACACGGTTTCTCCGACGGCGTCGAACCAGGCACGGTTCCAGGCGGCCGAAGACGAGAAGAGGGCAGCCATAGCGGGAGGGGGCGGGCAGCGAGGCAGTGTTCCACGGAAGCTTCGGTCGCACGGCAGGGACGCAGCGCCCTCCGCAGGCGTGCGGGAAGGCGTCTCACATCCGGCAAGAGGGCAGGCGGCGGCAATCGCCTGGGAAAAAACGTCGTCCGACTGGACTGTGGCAACCAGCATGGTCTCCTCCTCCCGTGACGACCTCTCCAGTAGCCAGGGTGGCAAGGTGCGGCGCCGAGGGCCAGATCAAAACGTCGATATATTGCGGAAGCCAGCTTCGCTGGTTGTTGTTCCGCTATGACGTTTTCGTTCAACCAGCCGGAATGACGTGACACGATTCCTGGACATACATTTGACCGAAACAGCTATGCTACAGGTTTAGTAATCCCATCCACCGTCGACCTTGTGAATTCTGCGCATATGTTTCCCGCACTTCTCGAATAATGTCTCCCAAAACAGAGTTGCTTGCGCACGACTATTTTAGAATGCGATGCGAAAACACGAGTGAACAAGGTTCTGGCTATCTGCACCGTGAAAATGGTGTTGTCGGTATCACGATAATCATCTACGTTCGGCATACCTTCATGGGTGGGAAGAAGGTCTTCCCCGTCACACCTCTCCATGAATATGGCAAACATCATGATTGCAACCCTGTTTGTCGAGAAAGTCGTACAACGAACCGTGGAACCCCTGCTTTCGCCGTGACGCACCGGCCAAAGGTGCAGCAGCTAGCCTCACCGAAGTATCCGCAGGGCTTCATTCCTCTCCCGCGATGTTTCCAAAGCTCTCCCCCACCCGACAGTCCCTTCTTCGGCCCAACACATGTTATGGCCTCTGTGTTCCGCGGATTGCTCATCGCTTCCCCCCTGTTCGACAACGACCGATGTCAGGTACCCAGCGCCGACGGTGCGGGCTCAAGTATCGCAGGAGGCAGTCACCGGACTGCCAAGAAACAGCAGCGACGGCCTTCCTCCAAGTCGCCTCGAACCAGCACCAAGTCTTCTTCTTCAGATGGAGGCGCAACCTCTGCTTCTCCAAGGCGGGTTGAAAGGGTAGTGGCAGAGGCAACGCAGGTGGCCGGCACAAAGAGTGACGCGGGCGGGCGCGAGGTGCTGGGAGAGGATCGGAGCAGCGGAGCTACTCGCAATGGTGAGTGGCCACACTGGGGGGGGGGTACTGAAAGATATCTTCAACCTCTCACGAGTAGCGTTGAAACGATTGTCGACAGTGCTGCTGTGCGTGCGTGCGTGCGTAAAGTCTCGTCGTTGATGGCAGATGCACTTCCTGCTTGGGGGCATCGAGTAGGACTATTTACTTGCATGTCGTCGCGTGTGTGGTAAACACACTGGAAATATGTGTCGTTCACGAAACACAAACTCGGGAATCTCAACCTCGACACACGGTCTCCTCGACTTTGATTCGCTCTTCAAACTAGCGAGACGGAGGGACTCGCAGGAGGAAGGCCCTGAAGAACACCTTAGTAGGACCGGCACCAACAGCAACAAAGGAGGTAACGGCAGCACCACCAGCATGGCATGAGGGGGGGGGGTAGCAGCGAAGGGCCAGGGTTCAAGGGAACAGCTTGCTGTGCGCGTGGCAGGAATCATGCGAAGATAGCACGGTGGCTGAAGCAGCTCACCGCGGGACAGTGTTCCCCCTTCGTCACAGCCCTTGCGACTGCCGAGGAACCGCGACGCCCCTACAGAAGACACGGGCAGATACGTGAAGTGCAAGGGGACAAGAATAATGGGTACAATGGTTTAACGACTAACGTTCATTGTTCGAGTATTTGTGTGTGCTGTTCCGGAGGTATTATTCGGCAGTGGAGTAGCCGGCCCTGTTCACCTGTAGACTTTACATGCCTTGACCATCGTTTTCAGAGCGGTTCTGCAGGCCCTGCATATTGTGACGGCTCCCTAGGTGAGCGTCTGTATTTTTCCAGGGTCCTTGGCGGTGAAAGCCAACCCTGTTTATTACCCGTAGACTTTTGCCCTTGCCCATCGTTTCTAGAGCCGTTTTTCTGATCTGCAGGCCTTGCATGTTGTGATAGCTTCAAAAGTCGAGCGTCTGAATTTGTGCAGGACCAGCATTCGCCCGTGGTGGTCCCTCGTGCAGCTGTACGCGTATTGTGCACTTTGCGCGCATTTCCCGACTTACCCACGTGCTGGCGAGAAACGTACGTGTTTGTTTTTCTTGTTTGCATTTGTTTCGGTTTGGGGAATAGTGGTACGAGCCCCGAGCTCCTTGATCAGTGTTGTCTACAACGGCAAGCAACTACTTGGGACACTTCCCACGTAGCCTCTAGAACTGTGGCGCGTTGATGGACGTCAGCCATATTCTCTGCTCGTGTGATACAAGCGCGTGGGTTTTCTCGTGAACTCAGGTGCAAACTAGCTCGGAGGAATTCCGCCGTATCCCTTTGTATCGTGTATTTCTATATTTCAAGCACCCATGTTTTTTTAGATCAGCTGAGTGTGATGTCGTTCTTGAAGTGCTGAGACTGGACATTTGATGGGTACTCCTTTCGCTTGATTGAGAAGACAAGAAACAAACACTGACGTCCATGTCCTCTCGGTGAGCCTCAGCAGGGTTTTTTCTTGCGAGGTGGGTTTGTTCCGAGCCTTGGGATAGCTTTGTGATTCTCTTCCAATGTTTCGTTATCGGTTTTTCTCGGTATTGCTGGGGAACCCGCGTGCTGTTGAGGGTTGATCCATTTCCCGTTCGAGCGTCGCAAAGTGTTCCTGCGAATGTTGTACAATTGTGTCTGGTGAACCTCCGTATGTAGTCCCTTCGTCTCTTCATTATATCTCTTTCTCCTGCTGTTGCCACTGTTGGATGTTGCTCTGCCTTTTGTGCCGTGTGGTGTGCGACCCCTGCCAGTCTGGCTGATTCCCCTTCCGTATGAAGTCCCGAGCGGACACGAATGCCAAATTATTCTTGCTACCTGTGTGTGACCACGGCTTGGAGTTCCTACCTGGCCAAAGTGTGCTTGGAGCGCTGATTTAAAATGATGAAAATTAAGAAAAAACTGCTACTTTGATGAAAACGGTGATATTATAGCGATTGTGGGGGAAAAGAGATAGAAGCAAGGGTCTTTAGAGAGAGCAGGGCGGAGGGTGCTCTTGTCTGGACATGACCGACATGAGGTTGAACAGCGATGCCGATCAGAGCTACGCGACGGCGCATACGCGCAGCAGATTCAACCCAAACGTTTCGATGGAAAGCGGTGTGTGGTTGACGCGTTGTCGGGAGTCCCGAGGGGGGAGGGACATAGTGTTGTTTAGGCTTTGCGTGTTGTGCTACCCTAGGGTATAGATGGGTGGTTTCTAAGCTGGGCAAAGCTCGTGCAGAAATTGTTGGTGTACTGCTGTGTTCGTGATTGCGACGATTGGTGCTTTTGTGTCTGTCTGAGCCAAACTGCATCTACTGTAGTTAGTTGGATGAAAAGCGGAAAATAGCCTATTGTGGCTAACAGGGTTAGACTCAAAAGAGTATCGAATGTTTTTTTCGCATGTCGGGGTCGGCCTTCATCTGTCCGATGGCAAGCGACGTACTGCAACAATTAGGGTATACCAATATTATTGAACTGACGCCACGTGTCGGATTGGTGCACAAGAGATTTCCAAAAAACGAATTCGATTTTGATTTTCGATTTCGGGTTGACTCTACTCGGACACCAAGGATGACGCATCGAAATCGAAACTGGAAAACATGGGTAACATGAGAAAGGCCTGAAAGTGTCCGTTGAATGATTCACATGATGGTCATGAGAGTCACGAGGCATCACACACATCGAGCGATAGTGTCGGAGGTCGGCGACGATCAGGCGGGTTGGAACATCTTGGTCTCGCACCGATATGCTGCGAACTCAGCGAGCTATGTGCGATTGAATACTCCGGTCTGACGCAGGGAAGCCAAAAACGATGCGGTTGGAAAGAAGGAACTTCACGGCGATGACTCTGTCTCTCCCATTTTAGCAGATTTCGCCCAAACGTATGCCGTGCTCTGCTGGATGCCAGTTTTTTGCAGGGAAGTTCACGGTGTGGAACCACGCCGCCGTGCGGTTTTTTGTTTCTTGACTTGGTCATGGTGTGCTTCGGTCCGGTGCGTTTTTTTTCACCTCGATGTTTGACGGTGCGGTGCGGTGCGTTTTTTTCAACTTGATATTTGACGGTGCGGTGCGGTGCGGTTCACCGTCGCACGGTTTTCTTTTACGGTGCGGTTTTTCTACCCCGTAATCAAAACCGGGCGAACCGCGGCCTTGGCGGCGGTCCACCGTCGAAGAACACCGCGGACAATACTACGGTTGGCCCTGACAAAATGACGGGGTGTCCACGATGTTAATTTTTTCGTGGAATACGTCAGATTTAGTCCATCGAAATAAGGCCGCCACGACAAATCCCGCGGCTTGCGTTCAGAAAACCCGAAAACCCCAAACATAAAAGAAGCTAGCGATCAATTACTTCATTTTCCAGTCACCATAAGTTGTTCCAGCACGCATCAACAGCAGCTACATTCCTCACTTGCTTCTACTACTGTTGTTGGAATATGTCAGAAAAAATTAGAAAACAAATCTGGCAGCACCACCAGGCGGCTCATGCTCGCCACTGGCTACAACCAGAGATCGAGGTGTGTGTGGGTGGTGTGGGGAAACGGTGTTGCGTGTGTGCTGATGTAAAATAAAATATAAAAATGTTCGATGTTCCTGGTGTGGGTATGCACGACAAAACCGTGCCTCAGCCTCGTTTTTTTCCGCAGTATACTGCGGTTTATACCGCGGTTTACTGCGGTTTTAGCTACGGGGTAGAAAAAACCGCACCGTGGTAAGACCACAACTAACTACGGTTGTTTGTGAATCCTTACGGTGCGGTGCGGTGCGGTGCGGTGCGGTTTTGTCGCAACACGGTGTGGTGCGGTCCGCTCGATATTTGACGGTGCGGTTTGATGCGTTGTTCATGGTACATTTGCACCCTTGGACTAAGATACCATCTGGGCGGGTATATCTTTCAGGAATATCCCGACCACCTGCCCACGTTCCTAGTATTCTGACTTTAGGCAGGTAGCAGTACAATGGTTACTGGCAGTAGCAAGCGAGTGCGAGCGTTCCACCTTGCTCAGTGTCTTTCCTGGTGTTCCCTGGTGTTGCCTGGGAGTGAGCGATAGCGAGCGACTGAAAGAGAAAGGAAGGAAAGGAAGGAAACAGGCTGAAGAAGCGAAGCGGCTCCAACCTGCACACAGTGGTCGGACTAGCTCCAGCCGCGTCAGAGATCGTCACATCTCGTCACACTTGGCCTCGTACTGAATTCGAACGTGAGTCGCTTCAACTTTTTAGTTTTCTTTTCGGGTGCAGTGGAAATGTTTTTTCTGCTGTGGCGTTCCTTGGGTAGACATATCTCCCTCTTTGGTAAGCTTGAGCTCACCACCATGGCAGCACTCACAGGCGGCGGCGCCGACTCATCCGCAGCCAGCCCACGGGGCACCAATAGTGCTCCACGTAGCTCTGCTTCTAGGGGCAACAGCTCCCCGGCTTCGACACATTCCGCTACCTCCACGGACGCCACTCAAGTGCACTCCTTGCTGCAGCAAGCAGCCTCATCTTTATTTAGGGTCTTTGGTCGAACATGCAATTGCATCTCCTGTTTCACCCAGCACCTCCGTGCCAAGTGATACACACCAAACACCCTTCGACACTATTAGTAATACACTGGCCGCTAATGATACTTCACTGTCCGACAATGCTGCTTCACGCGACACCATGCTTGCCACACAAGCACACATATCGATACTAGCGAGCGAAGCGAGCCGCTGGGAAGCTCGCTGTGCGAGCCCAAGCGGCCCCCCCCGGCTGGTGAGGGGGCCCTGCTGGAGGCGCCGCCGGAGGCCAACAAATTGGAGCAATTTCGCTTCATTTCCCATCAAAATTACTTGCAAATTGTGATAGCAACTCGACGAGTATCGTCGCGTTGCCTGTCTGAAGCTTTCCAGTTTTTTAGCGGTTAATGAAGTCGAGGGCGCACACCGCGACACGCTCGCCCACCGATCACGACAAAGGGTTCTGTACACAGAGTAGATGACATAACATAAGATGTCACACCCCCTGAACATTGTTTTTTAGTTTTCAAAGCTCGATAACTCCACAGCAGAAAGCGTGGCGTGACCGGGCGGCGTTGGCACCGATAGCTTTCCAAAACAAACCTATCGTTTGACATCCTCGTCGTAGTGGTCTAGCTCCGATGTTATTGAGACCCTAACGGCGAAAATGCAACAGAGAGAGAGAAAGAAGTAGACTAAAGGAAGGGAGACTCGAGAAGACAAGGCATGAACTCTCGAGAAGGCACTCACTCTCATCCCTCTGGCCCACCGCAGGCTTGAACACGTGTAACGAACGGCAACATCCGATGTGCGCTCAGCAACAACAAACACGACAAAAGAAAAATAGTCGTCGTTTCCGAAAATAGTGGTCGTTTAAGTTGGTGGAGACTTTCTTTCTTTTTTGGTATGAAGTGGCAACAAAGAAGAACACGACTATCTGTGTAGACTAGAAGCACGACGGACGAACTATTATCTCAATGCGCTTGCCGTCGCGATAGATGCGCACCGCTACCGCTATACGAACGAGCAGACTGTTGTCAAACCTGACTACGATAACCGTACGACCATTGCAGCACATTCCGAGCATAACAGCAGCAACCGCAGCAGCAGCCGCATATATGTGTACGATGGTCACTCAAGAACAACCGCAAAAAATAAAAAACGATGTGGCGCGCAGCACGCAGGACCCTCTTTCGCTGTTCAACCGGCCGTTTCCATAAGCCGGTCGCCCCGGTGGTCTATTATAGTTGGTAGCCTCGCAACCTTCTAGATGTCAGGTCAGGGGTTCGAATCCCGGCGTAGGCGAGCTTTTCTTGCAACGTGAGTTTTTCTCTCGCTCCCGCTTCTGGCCCAGTGGATAGCGCTAGTTCGTGTGTACACAGAGGGAAGAAAGTGCTGAACTCTTCTCGCATTAAAAATCGAAGGCAAAGTACCGCAGGAGGCGAGGGTAGAGAGGGGCTCTTCTGTGTGACCACGGGTTGGAGTAAACGGCACTAGTGCTGCGAGCGCTGATTTGAAGTGAAGACGAAAAAAAAAAAAAATGGCGAAACAGGGCAAGGAACAGTCAAGGTCGACTCTTGCCGGCCACAGGAGGCGGAAGCTGCTCCAACTCGCCAACTCGGGGACGGCTCATGATCTGCGATTCCACACCGAACCATACTCGAGGCGCCACGAGATTTGCAATATAGCTCGCGATCAGCATTTTAGACCGGGTCGGGCAAGAGGTGGGACATGCGAATGAAAATCCACCGATATTGAACGATGACACTGAAGCTTCAGAATATGAGACTCCTATGAGACCCCACCAACGGGCGAAAGGCGAGAGAGACAGGTACTGTAGGTAGACAACAAAGAAGAGAGCGGAGAGCAGACAAGGGATCTACTCTCGAAAAGACACCCACTCAAGTGGCCCACCGCAGGCTGTCAGACATGTGTAACGGCAGCGGTATATCCGATGTGGGCTCAGCAACACAACAACCAAAGAACAGTGCGGACTTTCATCTCCTGTGACTAAGTGAGAACAAGAAAGAACATGACCACTGCTGTACACGGACGAACTACAGTAGTATCAAGTCCGTCCGCGATAGATGTGCACCGCTGCACGAAGGTGGGAACTGTCCGTTGCCACACACCTCACTTGTGTAAATAAGATTGTGCTGCCATGTACCTTACGGGTCAAGTTACGACTGACTCACAGTGACTCCAAAAAGGCAAAACGCTTATACGATGTATTCCACACCACATGCATATTAATATGCCACTTACACTCCTGTGCGGTGCATACCACCCATGAATATGCAGCAACAGAAAAAAAAGGCCTGCTGTTGTCTGTCTCTTCAACTGTTGTGCTGCTGTTGCAACAGGCAAAAAGTAAGTGACGCGCATCGCCTACTACGCGAGCAACGCCTACGCGAGCAACGCGTGCAGCCCAAAGAGACAGAGACTGAAGCAATTCAGCAACAGCCGCATGGTCATTCACGAAGAAAATCCCCCCCAAAAAATAGATTGTGGCGCGCATCACGCAGAACCCTCTTTCGCTGTTCAACCGGCTGTTCCCATGGCGACACAGACAAGGAACAGTCCAGGCCGAGTCGTGTCGGCCACAGCAGGTGGAAGCTCCTGAAACTCGGGGAGGGTTAATGGTTTGCGATTGCCTTCCGAACCATACTTCGGGCGCCACGAGATTTACACTTGTAGCTCTTCCCATCAAAATTACTCGCAAATAGGCCTCCGAAACCTCTGCCGTCAGTGTACAGCCAGTTGCTTGAAAAAACAGTATGTATGTGTGGGTAATAGTCTATCTACATCTACACCGAGAAATGAAAATCATATTCATCAGTTAATTATTCTACACTGCTACTCAAGAAAGCTCAGCGGTATCGCACGCCGCAACAAAAAAAGCAAGCTTTCTTGTCGGAGAAAAGCAAAGCTCTCACAACAGTGAGAGATAAAAGGCACAACAATAATAATGAGAGATAAATGGATAGTAGCTGCAGCTACTTCGTTGAACGCGCGCATTCACTGCGTGCAGCTGCTGTGTGCTGTGCGGTGTGCAGCTGTGGGGGTTCCGTGTAGAACATCAGGGGTTCCGTGGAATATTAATCGATTTATCGTATCGATATCGAAATATCGAAATATCGAAAAGTTCAAATGTTTTCGATATCCGATATCGATACGATATATCGAAAAAATCGATACGATATCCAACACTACACGACACTACGCTCTTTCAGCGCACGCTTGACGCCATTGATGAGGATCACTCCAGCGAAATCCGCGCTCTGCCCGACACAGCTATCGCCATGCAATCGACAATTATCATCGACAATTTTGGCATATCTCAGCGTACCAATCGCGATCGTCACATCTCGTCACAGCGTTCTTTTTTCATCACGAAATATGATACCGCACCGCACCGCACGGTTTTTTGTTTCGATCTATTATTCGGTTCATCGTTTATATTTTTCCACATCACTTTGCGTTCGGAACATATATAAATCCTCCATATCGCCATGGGACACGTGGGCCGGCCCATGGGATACGTGGGAAATCCCACCTGTGCCATGGGAAGGCCCATACGGACGCGTGGGAGACACGTGGGACGTCCCGAGGGACACGTGGGACGTCCCATTGGACACCAAATCTAGAACATGGGACTCGTGGGACGCCCCATGGCTCCACGCTAGGGACGTCCCACGCGGCGCTCGAAAACAGGCGTGGGACGTCCCAGCCAGTCTCCCCTACGGTGTCCCACTCCTGTCCCTAGTGTAGTGATAATCATGGTAGGTCATCCTCGGTGTCTCCGACGCCGTGTGTAGTCGCCAACATCGACGAGTCGTTCAAATTACCCCTCTCCTCCACCTACTCTGCCCCTCCGGGCGACATCCTTGGTTTTATCCCCGACGCTGACAGAAAGAGATGGCTTTGCCATGCTCGACCGAGCGCGTACAACGCCAATTGATGTAGGCTGGGCGAGTGAAGTACAGACGTCGTACTCGGGTTGTCGTGGTAGGTGTCGTGTGGTAATCCATACATGGTGTGTGTGCGCACACAGACACGCCCGCCGGAATAGCGAGCTGCAACATCAGACCCTTGTCCCCGCGCTAAGTTTTGGTCACTTGCACACGTGACATTCGCAGGCGGCCGCTCAGGATAAAACTACATCTGCACCAGTACGGAGCACGACTCCGAGACAGGTGCGTTGTAGAGCCGCGGGTTGTTTTGTACTGTGGAATCATGTGTGAGGTTGTCTCGCCCGTGGGAGCCGCGTAGGTGACTAGCCATACACGGTCATGACGCCAAGTGGGCTCCCTCCTGCCCTGCTGTTATTTAGGGGTCCACCCACGGTTGAGAGGGGTTCCGCGTGGTAGAGGGTTAGATATCGATTTCGCAACAACGTCACATGATGTCACCAACTGTATACTTCGTTTCGAAATGTTCAATGCTCCTCATACCATTTGCTTGCGACCTCGGCGCGTATTATTCGCGTTGGCATTCTGAAGTTGAGGTTGGGTCGTGATGTCGGCTTATGCACGTTCTCCCCTCCACGGTCGCTTCGTTTCGCGT